GGGTGACCCCTGGAGACTTGGGGTGTGTCACCTGTGATATGATAGCCAATAATTGGATAGTGTGGACAGATAATCTTTACAGCTGCCTAGAGGCATAACTGGTGGTAATTCTTAAATGAAGAGCCCGTAGGCTAATGGAGTGTCTTGATTTTCTCCAGGTTCAAGCTACCTACTTGATAGATAATTATATAAGGAAATTGTAGCGTGAGTGTGTTAGACCATGTTGACTAGAGAAACAAATTCAGAGAGACACACACATGTGTATATATATAGCTTATACCAAGGGCTCAAGTAGAAAAAATGTTTTGGAAATGACGGTTCCAACTTATGTACAAATATACTTGATACAGTTGATGTATGGAATGTTATAAGACCTGTAAGAGCTCCCAATAAAATTATTTTTTTTAAAAAAAGAAACCAATCACATGAAATAAAACAAAGAGCTTTCTATCAAAAAGCAATTTTAAATTGAGAAGATATCCCACCCCAGTCCAGATGGAGTCCGTAAGTCCAATATTAACCCTTATGCCTGATACTAGTCTATAAATTTCTCTTCAGAGTCACACAGCACATGCAGTGATACAGAATGCAGGAAGATCACAGGCTGGTTGGTAAAGAGTCTTGTGGTTCCAATGCCGGTGGAAGCATCACAGGGCTGTCTCCACCACATGGCTTCACAGGTCTCAGCATAGCTCCATATGGGTTGTCCACCGGAAGACGAAGGCAGAGATAGAGGGAGAGTGTGTTGCCCACTTCTGATGGCAGAATCAAGAGAAAGGAAGTTCCCCGAATCCTCATGAGAAGGCCACGCCCACAAGAAGGCGTCCTCAGGCTGTGACCTGGCTGACAGGCTAGTTTCCACCCCTAGACTTATTTATCAAGTTGACATGGTGACTGCCACATTTAGCAAAGTTAACAAACCTCCTCCTAGAATCATTCCATGATGTCATTCTTATGGAAGCAACAAAAGTTATCTAGTGAAGGATCAAAAATTATATTTATTTGAGAATAGAGTTTTCTTGAGAAGAGTGATAAGATTTTACAATATGGCTGCCAGAATTCTTTTGAGAATCCATGTTTCTAGAGCATATTTTCCCATAATATCATCCAAGTTCCCATGTATACCTTTCAGGAATGAGTTTCGCAGTATGTCAGAGGCATGGTCCCAGTGTTGGCAGCATTCCCCTGTGGTCATGGGTTTTTGTTCATTTTTTAAAAGGAAGTGTTGAACTGGCCTTGCATATGTCCCCTTCTTCCCTTCCCTGCCATTAGGAATGTAATGTGCCTCCAGGCTGCTGCCTGAGTTCTAGAACACACACAGTCAAGTGAGGGCTACCTTTCTCCTTCTCAACAACGCAGTGAGAGTAGCAGGGCAAGGCATCTTCACGCTTGCTAAAGTGTGTCAGGGGTTCTGAGTCAATAGTGTGGGATTTGCCCAGTTGGCTTTTCACCTCATGTGTCTCCAGCCAGTCTCGAGCCATTTCCTTTCCTTTTCAGGGTGGATGTGGTGATCTGCCTGAGCACCACCGTGCGCAATGACACCCTGCAGGAAGCCAAGGAGCATAGGGTGTCCCTGAAGTGCCGCAAGCAGCTCCGGGTGGAGGAACTGGAGATGGTAAGGCCTCACAGCCTCCATTCCGCAAGACCTGGGGCCAGGGTCTGTGGGGTGATGGGGAGAGCCTAGGGCTGTAGCTGCTCAGGGATGACCCTACCTTGGAGCCGCGGGCTAACTGTTACCGTGTGTCGGCTTCTTTATTTTTTTATCAATCGTTCTTTTCAGTCTCACATCCTCAGATGCTTAGCTGTAAAACAAGGTGGAAGCAGGTGGTGCCGTGATGGAGTGAATAGTGTCCCTAAGTAAGGAAGCTCTTTCTCCTTCTCCTCTCTGTCCTTGCTAGCAGCTTCATCCTAAAACTGGTTTCCTTTCTGGTCACAAGGTGGCTGCCTATAGCTGTTGATCTAGTTGCTCTATTATTCAGAACCAGCAAGGAAATTCAAAGAAACCTCCTTCCGATGTGGGATAAAGGTTCATTTCTTAAGTTTGATTGAGAAGGTTCAGGTTGGGATTTGTGCCCACTCACTGACCTGCAACAGTCTGTGGGGGAATGTGTGTACTGATTTAGCTGATTGATCACTGAGGTGAAAATTATATTGGGAAGTCAGTCACAATAGGAGGAAACTTATTGTTGATTTTTGAGGTTAAACCATGTTAAAAAGAAGGTTAAGAAATATTCTTCCTGTGGTTTGTGCTTTGAGTCATGCTTATTTTACCATGGCCTGAGCAAAAACTCATAATAAAGACCCAAACACAATTTCTCAAAATTGCACTCCGAGATTACCGCCCATCGTGGCCCTGGCTCAGTGTTGGCTCTGTTTAAGTAAGGGTAGCTGACCTAATTGCTCTGTTACTCAGACCTGTTTTAAGCTGGAAGCGTTGGGTCCTGAGCTCTGTGCTCATCTCTTGCTGTAAAATTAGAGCAGCACATCTTACATAGTAGTTTTAACTTTCTGAAGTGGTTCCCACAGCTGTTACCTTATTTCATCTCACAGCAGTCCTGTGAAGAGGTCAGGGGAAGTAACAGCATTTCATTTGACAAACAAGCTCCAAGTTCATATAGCTATTTAGTGGCAGAGCTGAAACTAAAACCTAAATCTCCCTACGGCAACACCGTGCTGTCACTGCTATATAGAAATTGTACCCAATCAACAAATAAGTATGCAGAACATCTGACATCTCGGCTTACAATCAACTCACTTTTCCATGCTGGCTCCCTTCATGCAGACTGAAGACATCCGCCTGGAACCAGACCTCTACGAAGCCTGTAAGAGTGACATTAAGAACTACTGTTCTGCTGTGCAGTACGGGAATGCTCAGGTAACTTGGTTTTTGTGTTCTGATTCTCTCAGTAATGTGAAGGTAACATTTCAGTCATTCTTCACTGGTAGACTAGCTCCATCCACTACATCGTGCTTGCAAGCCTGCCTGTTTCCACCTGTCTGTAAATCAACTCCTCTCTGGCCAAGCCACATCACTTTTATTTGTGTGTGTATACTATAACATATGCAGAATAGGACTCTATCCGTAATCTTCAGCTATGAGGGCCAAGCAAGGTTTTTGTTTTTAATATTCATGTGTTAATTCACTTAGTCCTTGTAGTTAAGAGCAATGCCAGGGTACCTTACCTTTCAGATAATTTCTGGAGCTTCCATTAGATAACTGGATCATATGAATTTGTCCCACACGTCTCTTAAGTTTTTCTTTTAATATATTTCCATTTTTTTGTCCCTCTGGACTTTATTGAAAATGTTGTTTCTGTTTCCCAGATTGATAGCTTATTGTTTTTATAGCTCTGTTTATTCTGTCCTGAAGAGAGAGACCACCAATTGAGTTTTTAATTTAAACAATTCTTTATAGTTCTAAGATTTCATATTGGTTCCTATCACAACTACCTGTTCTTGGTTATTGTTAACCACCTCATCCTTTATTACTCAAAGGATAGTAAGCATATTTTGGAATTCTCAGGTTGATTGCTCTGCTACCTTTTTCTCCTCAGTTTTTGCAGTTCCTGTCTCTTCTGTGCCGTGAGTGTTCTCTCACTATTTGTTGATTCTTGTGGCTTGATTTCACTGAAGTGTCCCGAGTTCCTTCTGTAGTCCTGTCTGCTGTGACTTCCAATCCAGTTTCCTTCTTAATCTTTCTTTATAATATCGAAAAAATTGGTGTAAGAGACTTCAGGATGTGCTTCGCTGACTTAACCTTCAGACTCCTCCCTAGGCCCTCATACTCGCCCCGCCCTCCCTTCATACTTTCATGTTTGACTTTTCATTTATTTAAGTTTGTCCTGTGAGACTTGTCAAGGGTAAGGATTGAGTCTGGTTCATGAGCATCTGGCACAGTTTACCCTCGTGTGATAAATGATCAATAATCAGTGAAGAATTGGCACGAACTTCCTGGTTTGTGTCCACTCTTTAGTTAGAGCTTTTGCTCCAGGCCTGTGCAGAGTCTAATGAATTCTCCAAAAGGAATCTGCACAAGGAGGCAGAAGAAGCCAGGGACCCCAAGTGGATTGCATTAGCCCTGCACTGACGGCTGTGTAAGTCTAATTCTCCTGAGGAGAGGACCTGGATTCCCCAGCCAGGGGATTTAAAACAAAAAGTGCTTGGATAGAAAAATGGAGTAGGGTTGGGCGCTGCATAAGAGACCTCTGTGCTTTGCAATCAGGATATACAGTTATCAGCCCCTGGCACACCCCTCAACTTGACCTTAATTCTTATCCATAGATTATTGAATGTTTGAAAGAAAACAAGAAGCAACTGAGTGTCCGTTGTCACCAGAAAGTATTTAAGCTGCAAGAGACTGAGATGATGGACCCTGAACTAGACTACACACTTATGAGAGTCTGCAAGCAAATGATAAAGGTGAGGAATCAGTGACAACATCACCACTTGCTCGCTCACTACCATCGAATATTTGCCAACTCAGAGCAACCCTCTATGCGACAGGGTAGAGCTACCCTTGTGAGTTTCCATGACTACGGTTCTATACATGAGTAGAAACCCCCGCCTTTCTCCTGAGAAGCAGCTAGTGGTTTTGAACTGCTGACTGTGCAGTTAGCAGCCTAACTGGAGCAACAATATAAACATCTTTAAATTTCAGAGACTGAATAATCTTCCAATTACAGCACTTTGTATATAGTTGTTTCGCAGCCTGTGGTCCATAGACAACAGCAGCACCATCACTTGGGAACCTGCAAATTCTTGAGTCCTACCTCAGGTCTATTGCATGAGAGACACTGTGCAGGTAGAGCGCAGTCTTATCTTTCTGGTGATTCTGATGCAGGCTCAAGGTGAAGAACCACTGAGCTGAAAAGACTTTAGGTTGGTTCATTCTGGCTTGACCCCTGCTGATGATTTGCACTGCCACTTCAGATAGACTGAATCAGAAACTACAGTTTAGCACAATCCCCAAGTAATTATTATGCATACCCCCAGGAATTATATCCCATCAAGTTAAAGAGATGAGCCACACTAGACCCTTACTCCATATGCGTTTTTACATTCCTAGAATTTCCCACTGGAATTGGGTAGATAAGTCTTCATTGATACATGGTCATCTGGAACAATGTTATACTTAACATTTCAGCTCAAAATTTACAAAGCCGTATAGATGGAGGATCAGTCCTGTGCAGAGTAGTAAGTGGTGAGCTAGTGGAGAAGTGTCATAGAGAACGGGTTGAAAAAGATAAGCTTGAGGTCAGGTTCTTATTTGGCTTAGTGATAGCTTCACACTTTCTTTCATACTCTTTTCCAGTCGCTGTAAGAGTGCTCTCAGTTGGTGCTACGTGCCATGTTTGGATCGCTATGTTAGACAACTTTGTTTCCTTGCAGAGGTTCTGTCCTGAAGCCGACTCTAAAACCATGCTGCAGTGCTTGAAGCAAAATAAAAACAGTGAACTGATGGATCCCAAATGCAAACAGATGATTACCAAGCGCCAGATCACCCAGAACACAGGTAGCCTGGCTTTCCTGTCCTGTTGAGTGTATATTTGAAATAGAATCAAGTGGGCAGAGTTTTTTTTTTTCCTGCCCGTGGATTTTAAGGGCAAAAGTCTAGATGTACACAAAATGGCTTACTCCTTTGAAGAGCATCCAGAAGAATGGAATCAAAAGTCAGAGGAAATCCCCTTTAAAATGCCTGCCAAGAGAATTAGAGCTAGTGCCCAGTACAGAGAAACACGTAGAGTTTGTTTGAGAACAGAGCCACACGCACAGTGTGAGTTACCACAACTTTGTAGAGCTACCGCAGAGTAGTGGGAAGTCTCATTGCTGATTGAAAACACTGCAGTGAGAGCTCCAGAAATACTCATTGAATAAATGCCCCTTTCCTGTGCACTGCTACAATGTTGTTACAATGTTGTTAATAATAGGTACAATATATTGTTACATCATTAATGCATTCTGCTCTAGATTACCGCTTAAACCCTGTGTTGAGGAAAGCATGTAAAGCTGACATTCCTAAATTCTGCCATGGAATCCTGACTAAGGCCAAAGATGATTCGGAGCTGGAAGGTCAAGTCATCTCTTGCCTCAAGCTGAGATATGCTGACCAGGTAAACTGGCCTGGGTGCCCTGCGGAAGTGTATGTGTAGACCCAACTCGCCCCTGGGAGTTTGCTCTTTTGAAGTTCCCAACTTGGTCCTACTTTCCCAAGATCATTTCATCCCTTCCCAACCCAGGGAACTAACGGCCCAATAGGAAGCTGCCGTTTTCTATTAAGCTGATTTATGCTCTGTTCCTCCATGTAGCGCCTGTCTTCAGACTGTGAGGACCAGATCCGGGTAATTATTCAGGAGTCTGCTCTCGATTACCGACTAGACCCTCAGCTCCAGCTGCACTGCTCAGAAGAGGTAGGATTCGGGTGCAAAACAGATCGTGAACTGAACTGGGCAGAAATGCTGTTGCCGAAGAAGACTTTTCTACTCTGCTTTCCCTTGCCTCTGTCCCCGAAGCCGTAGGTCATTAGGGCACCTGGTTTTCCGTAAGGGAAGAATGTGGTGATGACACTTCACAACTCTGTCCACAGTTCTCTGCTGAACAAGAATATCCTCTTCTCTCTAGACTTAATTCAGATAAAATTTCTTCCTTCTTCTCTTTATGCATCATGGTCAGCCCAGAACACAAAGACTTGCCAGAAAGATTAAAAACTCCCATAATAATGCTAAAGATGTTTCTATCCTTGGAAATTGTTAGGCTTTCTAGCTTGAAAAGAATATGTGGGAAGCCCTGTTTAATATAACATATGTCATGGGGAGGGGATAAATATATGTATGAAACATATGTCAATTTAAGGGGACCATAGCTAAATCTACTTTCTAAGAAGCTTATACAGAACGGTGCAAAAAAATAAAAGCTGTAGAGGGGTGTGTGTGTGTGTGTGTGTGTGTGTGTGTGTGTGTGTGTCCAAATGTTTTCTTGTGTTGGCTGTGGTGGGAGGGGGCTGTGATCAAGGCCAAGTTCTACTAATCCAACCTGCTTGCTCTTTGGAACTCCAGCAGAATCTACAAGTACAACCTGGCAGAATGCTAACCAAAATAATAATAATAAGGTGCTGACCTGTGAACTCCAAGTCAGTGTGACTGTTTATAGAGTTTGTTGGGGGTTTTCCCCTAAAAGAAAGCAGAAAAGAATACAAGCTAGAACAAATTTAAAATTAATCAGAAGAGAAAAACAAATGATAAGGTATTAAATTTTAACCTAACTATAGCTGCTTAATCCATTGCACTCCGTCTGAGAGCAAGGCTATTCACATCCTAGGCAATCATCAGAGGGGATTCACTAGGGGCTTAATCTAATTGGAGACTCTGCTAATGGATTTTAGACTTTCAGTGTCATTCATAACCTTCTGCAGCCAGGTATTCATAATTGAAGCTCTAATGTAATCCCTTTCTGCGGTCTTAGATTTTATTACTTTACAATCCTTGGATCACGCAACCTGGTATGCTCCTTCCATGTGGACTTAGCTAACACCTTACTTAGATGGCTGCTTATTTAAAGATCCCAGACAGTATTCTTTCTCATAAGCTTTTCATCTTTGCATGAGCTATGCTTTAGGTCTCTCTCTCTCTCTCTCTCTCTCTCTCTCGCTCTCTCACTCTCTCTGTGTGTGTGTGTGTGCTTCTAAGTTGTGCATCTAGGTGGACCTTCAACCTCTGTAAATGGTTAAGTTTGGCTTTTAAAGTGTTTTACTTGGCTATGTAATGTATAACCTCCCATATGAATGAATTAGTAGAGGGCGTACTTTTCAGACCATCAACTCTGCCTTCAACAGTTCAAGCTACCTATCAACACCTCCATCACACCTCATAACCTTCCTTCTTCTCAAACCAAAAACTAACACAAATCTTGAAACAGTCTGACTCAAATCCCAGGGTAGATAACATAAAGATATTTTTGACTCTCAGTGCCAGTCACTGTGAAGAACAGAGCTTAGCATTCAGTACAAGAGGGAAAAGAGTAAAATCTCACCCTGTCTGATCAGGGTCCGCAACCCAAGTGGTTGGAGGATCAGCAAATCAACCTGCCTCAGGAACCTTGGTCCCTATGGATGGCACGGTCTTGCCTCGCTTAGGAAACATCAGGGGGCCATCCTTAAGGCAGCACCAGCACTGTACTGTTTGTTGGAATCCCCAAACTAATTGGCTTTGTGCTCAGTGAGGTGGTTTTGCTATGTGTGTGTGTGTGTGTGTCTCCTGAGCAGATCTCTAGCCTTTGTGCTGAAGAAGCAGCAGCCCAGGAACAGACAGGTCAAGTAGAAGAGTGTCTCAAAGTTAACCTGCTCAAAATCAAAACGGAAGCATGTAAAAAGGTAACAGCTGTCACCCCCAGCTCCCTACCCCGCCCACTTCCACCTTTTATTTCTCTTCTTCCCTCTAATGATATAGTGTGAACACCTCAATTACATAGTCTAACACCCATGCTGACCTTCGCAGAATTCTTCGCTCTTTTGTCTTACCTCCCTTTAATTTGTCCTTGACCATTAATCGTCTATGGCTTGAATGTTGAAATTCCATCTATCAACTACAGTTCTACTCCACCAACTACTGCTCTTTTCATGTACACTAATGATGTGTGAATGCTTCATCCCATGACTAGACTGTTTTGTAAGGACACTGAGAATGTAGCACCAGAGCAAAATACAGTTCTAATAAAGCAATGTGTTCAGGAGTCATAAAAATCAGTAAAACTGTCCATTTGATAACTATTAAGTGAAAACAGATTTATGGAAAACGTGGCTGCTAAACATAAATTATCTTACAAAATTGAAAATGAAATTCGATTTCATCTTTTTGAAAGCTTTATCTTTAAAAAAAAGTGACAGAGTCAAGTCTCTGAGAGTGTGGTGGGTCGGTTTGGTTTTCACCTGCTAAAAAGCAGGAGAGTCGCTCTTGACAGGGCCACTAGAGGTGATCTGCCAAAAAGGTTCACTGCTCCCCAGAACACCCCACAAAATCATGCAAATCCAGAGAGGCCATTTGCATGGTAAGCTTGTGTTAAAAAGTAAATCAGGATGTTTTCCTTTGCTCCTTTAAACTCGGAGGAGGGCTATCAGGGCACTATTTGGGTTTTGGTTTTTGTTCTGGTTGCGTTTGCAAGAACTAAAGCCTTCCTATTGCGGGCAGGCTGTAATCTTGGTTTTAAAAAGCCTTTCTAGCCGGTCTGCCCTTCCTTAATTCCATCATTTTTAACTGGAGTGTCTGCAGGTTTGTCTTTAAGACTATCATGTTAATATTCTGATTATCCAGAAAACCTTTAAGTGAAGTAAATAATTATTCTTGTTTAGTCAGCCTTCTCATCTTTTGAACAGAACAATTATAGAATGAGACATTTTGTGAGCAAATATACCTTTACGTAGCAAGAGAACTATCTGTAACACTGAAAACACTAATATTTAGGTACTTTGAAATAATATAGCTGGAGCCAAACACCAGGAACCCTGAAATCAGGTCTTAAGATCCCTAAAGGGTAGAGAGGGTCTCATCATTTTGTCTCTTGCTTTACTTGTCAAACAGCTTTACCCACACTGGGTCTCCAAGAGGAGAGTTCAGGTGGGTGCTGCTGCATTCTTCACATCAGTAGCATGCTGTCACTTATCCCAGAGTAGTCTCTGTTGGTAACCTCCAGCCTCCTCCTTGATTTTCTGTTTGTATGCGACGTGGTACTGACGGGCAGCAGATCTGGTGCACTGACGCCACGAACTCTCCTTGCCATGGTCTTTCCTCACCAGGAAGTGTTGAACATGCTGAAGGAAAGCAAAGCAGACATCTTCGTGGACCCCGTCCTTCATACCGCTTGTGCCCTGGACATCAAGCACCACTGTGCAGCCATCACCCCTGGCCGAGGGCGTCGTAAGTCACTCAGCCGAGCCCTGTGTTCACCCCCACCCTGCCTGAACTGGTTTATGAGCAGCAGTGACTTCCTCTTAGACATCAGATGCAGCTCCTCTTTAGCAGCAGCCCAACCACAGGGGAAATCCCTTGGGTACCTGGTTGGTGCCAAGACAAGGCCTGTGTGGCAAAATGAATCGAGGAAGGGCCCAGCAGGTGTGAACTCCTCTTTGCCGTGAGCAACACTGGAGATACGATGAAAGAGAAGGACATGCCATTTATTCAGAAAACAAAAGTGAAGCGTGCAGGCCCTCCTTTTTCAAACCAGGAATGCTTTATCAGCTTTCCCAGAGTGGGCGCAATAGCCAAGCTCTGCCCACAGTAGACTCCACTCAGTAGGCAGCTGTGTCTGAGCTCTGCATGACCAGTAGAAAAGCATTTCCAGGACAGACTCGGGAAGGCCAGCCCTGGCAGTTGAGTACTGTGCTTCTCCCTTGGGTGGGGTTTGCTGGAGTGAGATGACATTTGTTTTGTTGCCAGATGTGAACTCTAATGCTCCGAAGCTTCCAAGCCTTTCAGGAGTTTCTGTGTCCCATAGTTGCAGACTCTTCTGCTTATCTTGCCTCTTCCACAGAAATGTCCTGCCTTATGGAGGCCTTGGAGGACAAGCGTGTGAGGTTGCAGCCAGAATGCAAAAAGCGCCTCAATGACCGGATCGAAATGTGGAGTTATGCAGCAAAGGTAATGACCCAGGAAGTCCCTCCGTGAGCCTTGACTGGTCATCTTGCCCTTATTATCAGACTGGTGATGAATGTAACTGAAAACCTGTTAGTGCTCTTTTTCTTTAACACTCCACAGCCACCCAGGATACCCAGGTCCTTTTGCTTTAGGGTGTGTCTGCACAGCTCTGCCCAGGCCACTGCTCTCTGCCCCCAGTTTCCCTCGGCCAGCCATGGAGCAGTGAGTCCCCCAGAGGAGGGCTCAAACCTAAGCCAGCCATGGAGCTGTAACCTGCCCAGTTCTTAGGAGAGAACAGACTTCAGTCCCACGGGAAAAGAAAGCTACTCCGCCTCCTCTCTCGCAGCCTGTCCTTCATGGCACCCAGCCTTCAGGTGGAGAACATGTAGCGGAGACTGCCCTCAGCAGCCTGGAGAGCAGAAACGTGGGGCATC